GGGCGGGGGGGGCCCCCGTTCCTCTCTTTCATGAGTTAATATCCTTGACTCCTGCCCAAAAAACCAGCAGGCCTGCCTCCCACCATGCGATCAGCCTCCATTCTGCTGACTCCTACAGGGTGCACCCTTTTTCTAATTAACTGGAATGGCTATGGAAAGCAAAGGAGGCCTTGTGTTGGGTGAACCAATTATTTTGAAGGGTATTAAGTCATCAGATTTACTTTTATCTTGATTGCATTGTGGAAATCGTGCATAATTAATGGTGGGAGCTTATTAGGAAAATGATTAGGCAAATTACACAGGTGTCGGATGCATTTTTTATGATAAATTTGCTAGAACAATCCTGCAATTCCATCTGTTCAGCTCATATCAGAATGTCACTCTGGAAGAAATTAATGGTGCAGAGTCGCACAAAGTTACTGGAGGCCTTGGATGCAGATTTATGTTTTAAAAAAAGATACAGTTAAAATTACCCAGCAATTTCCTAATAAATACTTGATGTTACAGTTCAATAAATTACTTATTTAATCTTAAAAGAAAATGATAGTCAGCTGGAAACTAAAAAGTGGAGAAAGCATAAACCTCATTTTGTCAGTTTGATGTGTATGTAAATAAAAAATAATCATAAGACATAATAATTCTTTGCTGTGGGATGCTGACTAGAGACAAGCTGTCAGTATCCAAGTACTTCTGCTAGGTATTTTTTCCACAGATACTAAGGCTTGTCTTACAAATCCTGTGCTGGTTCTGAGGTGGCAGAGCCAGTTCCCCTTTCCGTAATTTCTGCAGTGTTTAACAGCAGATTCTGGAGCTCACATCCTGGAAACTAGGGAGGACGCCAAATGTTGTGCTCATGTCCACGCTTCTTTCACCTTGCATTTCCTACCAACACCAGAAGACAAAAATTATGAAACCAAAACCCACAAACACATTGTCCTTTGGAGGGAGCCAGTAAATGAGTGCATGGGGTTTTGCGTGTTAGTCTGTCTGCGCGTCTGAAAGAGCATGTGTATGAGCATTTGTAGAACTAAACCAGTGAAGGACTGATACGTTACCCCTGGAAATGCTGAGAAACCACAGTGATGGATTAGTTATTATGCAGCAAATAAAAAGCTCATGTTCCATAAAAGCAGCATAATATTGTACCAGCTAATATAACATGATTTCTCAAAAAACACAAGTAAGGGGCAGAAGTTGCAGGAAACTGGGTGTGTGAGGGGAGCATGACAAAGAAAAACAATTTAATCAAGGCTGGGCAGTTTAACAGTTGAATCGGATTTTTAGGAGTATACTTTTCATAACCTGACTGACTCATTATAATCACTGCTTTTACCTTTCTTTCAGTACTACTTTTAAAAGAGATAACTAGGCAAATGTACTTAACATGGCCGTTGTCTTCTCCAGGGACAGCTCTGAGCAAGGCACAGCCCCAGATGTCAAGTGGCTTGGGGTCTGCATCCAACTCTGCCACAAGTGTCTGCATCACCTTAGTCGACCACCCCCCAGGCCCCTGGATATAGAGCACAAGACCTGCGGGCTCAGGGGAGCAGAGAATATGGTGTTTTGCCCCAAGAACAGAATAAGGCTGCTCTCAGGGCTGGAGGTACCCCTCAGGATTATTCAAACAGTTCAACAGGCCTCTGAAAGGGTCCCTCAACACTGCAAATGCAGTATATATTCAGCCAAATGAGCTACCAGCTAATTTCACAATATAAGGAACTGTTTGTCACTGAAGGCTTTACCTGGGCCCTGGCAGTAAAGGTCTCAAGCACAGCTTGCAAAATCCATCTAAGAAACTGAGTAAAAAAGTTTATCTGTTTATTTGCATTGCTGTTGGTATGGCTTTGAAACTAGCTTGAATGTTTTGAATGCCTTCAAAAATGCAAATCAGACTTGCCCCATTTTGTAGATCCCTCCCTGTGGTGCCCCAAGGACTATCATCCTGCCCAAACTCCACAGCACTGTGGCTATACTACTTCATTCCTCTCTCCTGTTCCTCGGTGTCCCAAGAGCTTACTCATTGCCACAGGGTCCTTGGAAGGAAGACTTACTGGCAATGTGGCACAGTCCATTTGGAGATTTCTGTTCTTCTCAGGATCTTTAACTCATTATAACGTTATCAGAATAGAAGTAAGCATCTCCCTTTCTTTTGGCACTCTGAAAAGGAAACTAGTAATGATCATCATTTTTTTTTAAAAAATGCTTGGAAGTTTACAGCTAAAGAGCAACCCATGAGAGAAGTGCATTATTTTTCTCCCTAATATCCAAGTCTTGTTAAATACCAATGTTAGCAGTCTCTGTGACTTTTGCATCTGATTAATCCTTCCCTGCAAAGTAAAGCGGCTGATACCACTCACTACCATCTACACTTGTGGTGAAGGCAAATGAACTGAATTCTGAACAGCTCCTGTCTGCAAGAGGGGCCATGGCAGCAACACCTCGTGGGTGGTTTGTGTCCTTTACACAAGGAGTGCTCGGCTCATCTGAAAACCCAGCTTCTCCTCCAGACCCTTTGCTAGGCATTCTTTGAAATCTGCTTTCATATGTCTCATTGTAGCGAGCATTTTCAGAAAAATTACAGGGACATACAAGCAAATGTGGCAAACCAGTGTGCCCCTGAGTCGGTGTGTTACTGCTTGTTAATTAAGACTATTGATAAATCTTGGGTTTATTCCATGAAAGCTATCTGAACAATATAGATTAATGCTGTTCAGCACAGCAGGTAACCCTAACAGAGTTACTGAAATATTAGAGAATATTTGAGATAAATTTGAAGTTAGGGTGACTGTCCTCCTGCATTTTAAGGAATGTCCCTTATCTGGTGCCTAATGGCCTATGACCCATATCCAATGAGGAGTTGCTAAGCATTTGATCAGATAAAAAGCATGTTTTCAAGCAATCATTATTCAAAGGATCAGACACTGTGATACTAATGTATGATTTTGTACCATGAATAAAACATTTCAGATGATATCCCTCAAAAAAATCTATACTGGAATTTATATAGGTGAGCAAGGAAGGGTCAAGTGAATTTCACAGAAGGAGATAGAGACCTGTCTGGATTAAATTAAATGGGTTAATATAAAACATAGCAAGGCAAAGAGTCATGGGTTCAGAATACATAGCCTTAAATGTAAACCTGACATACAGGTTACTTCCCAATTTCACATGGGTCTGTCCCCATCCTGTAAAAGAAACTAGTACTATTTATTCCTAGAAGAGCTTAGCTAGTCAGTATTATTGGCAAGATAGGACGTAATGTAGGGGCATCAAGTAACTCAGATGTCCTTTGCAGTTCCTGTAGTTAATGTGCAAACACAGACAGAAAATTGCTGTCTGGCCAACATTCATTTGTACAACTCTCTGAAGTATACCCCATCCAGTTCTCCTTCAGGTGGCAGAATCTCTCCAGGTGCTTTTACAGAGAGGCATTCAAACAGACCAAAGGTCTTTGCCTCACCCTCCAAACTCACCAGTCTTGATGAGCTCTAGGAAGCTGTAGCAGGAAAACCATGTTAGAGATGTACTCTGAAAGTATTAACCCACCCTGAGTCGGCAGGTTTGCATAGACCTCTTTTGTGCTCAGCGAGGTCCCCCCGGAGCCACCATGGGCCGACGCCCAGTGCATTGTTACAGATACTGCAAGAACAAGCCCTACCCCAAGTCCCGCTTCTGAAGGGGTGTCCCTGACCCCAAAATCCGCATCTTCGACCTTGGGAGGAAGAAGATGAAGGTGGACGAGTTCACACTTTATGGGCACAGGGTGTTGGAAGAGTACGAGCAGCTCAGCTCGGAGGCGCTGGAGGCCGCCCGCATCTGTGCCAACAAGTACATGGTGAAGAGCTGTGGCAAGGACGGGTTCCACATCTGCGTGCGCCTGCACCCCTTCCACGTCATCCACATCAACAAGATGCTTTCCTGCACCGGTGCCGACAGGCTGCAGACAGGGATGTGTGGCACCTTCAGGAAGCCGCAGGGGACAGTGGCGTGGGTGCACATCGGGCAGGTGATCATGTCCATCTGCACCAAGGCCCAGAACAAGGAGCACATGGTGGAGGCGCTGCACCGAGCCAAGTTCAAGTTCCCGGTGTGCCAGAAGATCCACATCTCCAAGAAGTGGGGATTCACCAAGTTCAATGCCGATGCCTTCGAGGAGATGGTGGAGATGATAGGACAAGGGGAAATGGTTTGAAGTTGCACCAGGGCAGGTTTAGGCTAGACATTAGGAAAAACTTCTTCACCGAAAGGGTTGTCAGGCTTTGGAATGGGCTGCCTGGGGAGGTGCTGGAGTCCTCATACCTGGAGGTATTTAAAAGAAGGATAGATGAGGTGCTTAGGGACATGGTTTAGTGGTGGGATGGCAGGGTTAGGTTAAAGGTTGGACTCGATGATCTTAAAGGTCTTTTCCAACCAAAGTGATTCTATGATTCTATGATTCTATGATAGACATGCTCCTAGAGGCATCACAGCAAGTAGAAGACCCCGCCAAAGCCAAGGCTCCCTTTTAAGTGGCTCTGTACCAAAAGGCAAGTACAGGCAGTCTCTGCTCCTGGGAGCATGGAGCTCAGGCAGGAGGCAGAAGGTGAGGCAGAGCAATTCTTAGAGACAGGCAGGAAGTTACTGGCAGTAAATGCCAGAAACAAAATCTAACTCTCACTAATCTCAGTCCAAGTCTCATTCACCAGCCACACTGCTCCTTTGATTTCAAGTGCTGGCGTCGTATTTCAAGTGTACAGTATCCCCCTAATACTGTAATCAATATTTGTTTTTAAATTAAACATTACTTTTCTTTTCCAGAGCATCACTCAATTTTCTTTAAGCCCTACCAAAATAACTAATTCCTAATCCTTAGTATAGATAACTAGCTCAAAACAAACAGGCCCTTTTGTAGTATTGACAGCATTACATTTTTAGCATATTATAAGCTTGCAGCTAACACCTAGACATTTCCTAGCACTACATACTCTGAAATGTAGGTGGTAAAAATGCAAAGATATTTGTTTACCCAATTTTCTGAGTACATTTCCCACATAACGGTTTCAAAGTTTAGCCTTTCAACTGCTGAACATTCAAGACTTGGCACTGGTTTTGCCCAGATCAGATTTTCATTAGACAACAGACCAATTCATACAAGCTTCTGAAATTATTTTAAGGGATTCTCTCTTTTTTTCCTTTCTTGGTGAGTGGTGCAAAACGCTTCCCATTGAAGGTAAATGGAAGGGCCCAAACGTAGATCATATATCTAAACACCACAGAAACATAGGACACTTGGATAGACACTTATTCTTTTTCCAGGTTTTCATGTCTTGCCCTTGTAGAAACAAGGGCAAACTTGCCTTGCACTGTAGAAACAAGACCTTTTTCTGCAAGTAGACATGGCTTTAAACATTGAGTCCTGGCTGATTGAAGCCTTTCACCAAAACACCTTCATATTTTGTTTTAGATGTGTGGGTTTGGATGATGAGGAATGCCATTGGGATGCTACTTTACAGATGGTGAGCGGTCGAGCAGGCAGTACTTCCCTCTGATGGGGAGGAGGCAAACCCTTCATTAAAACATCAGCTTCCCCCAGAAGCTCATACTGTCTGACATGCCTAACCTGTGTGCATATGTCAACACAGAACGCTTGCTAATGTTGCTGAGGCTGTAAATAAGGGTTCATACTATACTATGAGGGAGATTAATGAGTAGAGTGCTTCTTTCTCTGCTGGAGGCTGAAGTAGGTTCCCTATTAAGATGCAGTATCTGTCACTGTCAATAGAGACATGCTGTGTGGGTGTGAGGGGAGGCTAAAGAGGTGTCTCTGAATCTGGTAATTCCTTGCTTTTAAGGGTCTAACACAGGGGACTGACACACTTGAGCAACATCAACTTCCCGAGACATGTTTTCTGTTAATGGAAAAAGTCCAGTAATGTCTGTGGCCAGAGAGGGGAATGCAGAGGAATTGGAGATATTCCCTTCTGAGGAAAGCACAGAGTTTTCTTCTTAAACTTCAGAACAGAGAAAAAGAAAGAAACTAGTGTCCCATGCATAGGCCATGTAGATTTCAGGGAAGGGAGAAGGGAGAGAACTTTCCTTCTCTTAATTGTTCCCATCTTACATATTGAGAGCTTTCTGTGTTCTTATGATAAACTGGATGTCTGCCTTCCTTACCCATGTTCCCCTATCTCCTTCCATCTTCAGTTCAGGTAAACAACTATTTTTATTTACTTGTAGAACATCCCCTTCTAGTATCAGAATGTCTTACAGAACTGTCTCATCTTCATGAAGCTTTTGATATCATCCTCTGAAGGAAGGGTTATCCATTTTTACACATGGGGAAACAGAGCAAAAAGAGGCTCAGTGCCTTGCCCATGCTTACACTGTGAATGTGCTGGTGAAGAGGGGTCTTAAATCTGAACTCACAAGCATGTCTCCGCTCTTGGACCTAGGGTCATAAAAGAAGATTCCCCATATACCTCATGCCTGTGTTGCAGTGAGAAGTGAAAGCAAAGGTAGTCAGCTCACTCAGCCTGGGCTGAGAAAGGTCATTCCTAGATTATTAAGGAAATCTTTTCTATGTGTTTGAACCATAGGGTCTTTCTAGGTCAGAAACTTTCTGTCAGAAACAGTTGAATAATACACACAACTTAAAAATGCCTATGCATTTAAAGACAGATCTATAGACCACAGGCTGCTCTTAAGACCCCTAAGGAACATATAAATTTATACGAAACAGCCTTTCTCTATTAATTAGAAGACCAGCCTTTTTACATTACTTAGAAGACTGAATAAAATGAATGTAACACAGAGAAATATTATCGACTTTGTCCTAACATTTATGTCTACTTTACAGAAGCTTAAAGAAACTTATGTAGCCAGTATAGTAATTAATCTGAAATGAAAAATGTGTAACAAAATATTATTAGTATTGAGTTTAATATCTGGTTACCTTCAGCAAAAGCAAACAACTAAAAAAGAAAGTGAAAATTTGAAATGGGAGAAGTCTGGGGGAAAAAAAATGGGAGCATATATCTAAAAAACCCCAACCAACTTCTAGATTTGTATGTTAAAAATTTATCTCACTTAAGTACCTAGATATGTAGCCCAAAGTCAGTGGGAATTGCAAAGGACAGCACCTTTGAATAATAGATCACTTCTTTAGCTCTCTTATCAGTTATAGACATAAGGCAAATGCTATTTACTCTTCCTTTACATCACCAACCTTACTGAACACTAAATAGCTCTCTTTTATTTTTTTACTTGGAGAGTAAGACTATTTATAATAAAGTTGTTCTATAAAAATACAATAAAATTAGAAAAGCTGCTTGCAAATGACATGTAAGGATTAAGTAATCTTTGGACACTCACTTCAGAATGCTGTGTCATGCCACTTGCAAAAGGAAAATCAAGGAAAAAACAAGTTTCCAGATTCATCAATAACATGTTAGTTTTATGTATAACATGTATTAAGAAATAACGTATTATACTACACCATGCAGTGATGCTTTCCCAGCAGTTTTGATAACTTCTCTGGAATTGCTGAAAGAGCATTTGGCTCTGGTCTCATTCACGGTGCACCCAAGCTGCAGGGAGGGTGTGTGCCGGGGAAAACGTTAGCTCTCTCAGCCACTGCAAGCAAGAACATGCATTTTAGGTTTTGTCACAAAGAGGACAGCAGTGTCTTAGTTGACAAAGGGGGAGAACAAGGCCAAAGCAGATGATCAGACTGGCAACAAAAATTAATGGAAAGTTATACCAGAGTGAGGCATTTGGCCTGAGTGCTGGGCCTGCTCCGGAGGTGGAGAATATGACAGCTCCAAGGCCAGCAGGAGGGAGCCTCTCTGAGCCGGCGCTTTGCCCCTGGCATTGCAGGTGCAGAAACCAGCAAAGCTCTTCCTGCTCACTGCCTCCTACAGTAATAACTTCAGAAAGTTCTCAACACTTCAGGAGGTGTTGGGAGGGGGGAGGCTTTTTTGTTGTTGTTTTTTAACATTCGTGTGAAAGCTTATTATGAAAGGTTTATATTGCAATGACAAATGCAGAAAAGATGGAGTACATTGAAGCTGAAGGGCCTTCAGGATGAACAGGATTAAGAGGTATACATTCTTTTTCACATTTGCACGATTCACTTGCTCTTTAGCCACCCTATTTCAAACATTTTTGAGAGCTGCTTCACCTTAATATTGCAGAGTCTAGACAGTGGGAAGTGCCATCCCCTTTTCCTTCAGCCCATGAGAAATATAAATTGATCAATAAGCAGGGGACAAGTTATACTGACTGTAGAGTTTTTAAAATTCATTATTAAGCACATTTTGTTTGCGTGGAAGGAAGAGTTAAGCCAAAGAAACAAACTGTGAATTAAACCTCAATGTTGAGTTCATTTTTAAAGGTAGAAGTAAAGTAGCCTTTCTTTTTAGCCCTTCAGAAAATCCCAAACTTACAGTATGCTGAAGTGTCCCAGAAAAAAAAGTTGATATCTGGTCCCCAGTAATGTGAAAAAGTAAAAATTCTTTTTGTTGGCAAAAGAAAAAAAAAAGAACTCCTCCTTATGTATAGCCAAAGGACTTTCAATAGTTTGTATGAGTCTTATTCTATAGACATGGTGTCCTAAATCTTAAGCTAACTCCCTAACCCTACTTATGACCTTGGTTAATAGCTGAGAATGGGAAAGAGACTACGGTGGTGCACAGGGAATACTTCTGTACCAGGATCAAGCATAGGACAACATTGTGGAAAAACAATCTAAATAAATGACAAAAAAAACCCTAAACAACAAAACCCCAAACATTAAGAATCAAATGAGACTCAAAATACAAGGGAAATCCTTCTTCTGCCACAAATAATTCTCTCTATAACTGTTATTTAACAGTTCTTCATACTTTGTGGAAATAGCTGCCAACAACATATGGAGTCACCAAATTTGAATGAATGACACTAGAGAAAAAATTTAGACTGCAATGAATAATGTCCATTAAAATGAGAGCTACAGAGTGAGAAAGGTTATGTTTATAGGAAGGTGGTCTCTAAAGAACCTAAATAGCTATGGAAGTCCTGTGAGAAATGGAAGTTATTGGGACAGGTAACTAGAGCTGTATTTCAATACGAAGTTATTATGGAAGAAGGAGATGAGTCCTGGGCATTTCATCAATGATGAGTCTGCTGTAGAAGCAGTATGACACAAAGTGTGTGCTGACTCGTGTCGCTAAACTGATGAACTGCTTCATAACAGAATAAGCCTTTTTGGGGAGAAGGGAGACTGAGACACAGAAATAAAACTCCTGTTCAAATCTCCAGATAGAAGATACTGGAGCATATATATATTAACCATGCCTTATAGAAGCAGATATGACTGGTAAGATACCTTTTTCCTTCAAAAGAGATGATTGGTATGTGTGTGTCTCTGATGACTTGATATGACTAAAAAATTCAAACAACCCCAACACCTTTTGAGCCATGTAAAAAGCAGGGGCAGATGCCATCAATTGTTATGTTTTGTTTGTAGAAAGAAGAGAAAAATTCTCCAAAACACCTTCCTTACAGTTTTTGGGATGAAGAACAGACAGCTACAATAATATAACTAGATTGCCCAAATGGTGGGAAGATGGCATTTTATATGTTTGGAGAAAAAGGAAAAAGAGCTGAAGTGGCTTCTCACAGACGCCAAGCACAAAAATCACAGAGAAAGACTCCATATAAATAAGACTAAACCTTAACATAGTAGCAGGCCAAAACACAGCTGATAGAGTGGAATACAAAGATACAATTCTGTCAGAAGGAAAGGACATGATCTTATATTATTAAAACTAATTCTTAGCTCAAAGTTCATTTTTTGATTACTTTTAATAGAAACATGGGGGCAGAATTCAAACTGAGTGACCTAACCTGTTAATTTTTACTTCAATACATGTGTATTTTTCACATAATGAAAGAACTAAAAAAAAAGCAACAAAGGACCCTATAATTATCTCTCAAATATTTTTTATCTTGAAGTTACTACTATAAATTTTCCTTCTTAAAACAATATTCTCTTTCATCATTTTAGGTTCCGAGTGTAGTCAGAGAAAGAAAAATACTACTTTTTAAAAATTTTATTACCAACCTTTCAATTTTATGTAGTTCAGTCTTAAAGTCCACATTTTATAAACTACTCAGGCCTTTCTGGCATGGAAAGGAAGCAGCAGTCAATTTCTTAGATGGAGGACTGACAACTGTCAAAGATTAATGGCATTAGTGGTTATTTATTTGGCTAACAGCCAGGCACCACATTTTTACATTTCATCTGAGCAAACTATTTGTTAAAACAGGTGCAAATACCTATGCTGTGCATAGCCCCAGGAACCAGTGAATCCCATCAACCCCTGACTCTATTGAGGGGTCTCAGCCTCTCAACAGTCAGGCCCTGGAAGAGTCTTTTTAACTCCTATTTTCATAAGTAAATTATATGAAATACTGTGAGAAAGAAGCATGGATATGTTAACACAGGAGGAAGCAGTCATTCACACAAGTGGATTCACAGAATAGTCTCTGGAGTAATTCCAACAGGTGATGCTAAATAATACACAAATTATTTGCATCCCCAGATATGAAACCAAAAATAATGGCTGGAGTTAGGTCTTTGCAATCAAATCCTGACACCCTTCCTTAGTAATTGATGTTACTCTTCCAACATTAGGATTTGTCACTAAGTTTAACTGCTCCTTTCTAAAGTTAGGTAGAGCTGAAAAATACAAAATACAGGCAATGTATTTTCATATTTCAGAGTTTGTGAATCATTATAGAGTCATTTTTGTTAGCAACCCTTGGCACTACACTTTTGGGAAAAATATTAATAGATTACATCCTTTGGGCATAGCATCAAAATGACCCAACCCAGAAAAGATACGTCAGATCTTGCAGTCAATTTAAATTGAAAATGACAAATCTACAGTAGCAGAATTCAGGTTTCAGAAAGTGGCTCAAATGATTAATTCCATAGAAAAAGACACCGGGGATTTTAATTACTCAAAATTGGGAAAATAGCAGTTTGTAATACATGACAGGAAAACAATACAGAACACTCTGGACGTGACCAGATTCTTGTAAAGTCATTAGAAACATTCATGCTCCTTGAAGTCAAGCTTCTACAGCAAAGCATTTCCATCCAAAAATGAGGTTTTAAGAATTCTGCATGAAGCCAGGTGCCTGTCTGTTCACTGCATTGACATAAGTGTTGTCACAGCAGAATAGGACATTTCAACTAGTCTTTTCCAAATGGGTCCTTGAAGACCAGTTTTGAAAGTTTCAAAGGTTGGCAGAAATCCTCTGCAGTGCATTGACTGTACTATATCAATGAGGGAGCAAAGAGTTTTTCATGCCAACTAGTCATAAAGAAAATCTTCTGAAAAACTATGCTAGTCCTTAAAGAACAAATAAATATTTATTGACAGGGAAAAGAAAGGTATGAAGGATCTGACACACAACAGAAAGTAAATAAAACTCTCCATTGCCTCAGAATTTTTTTCCTCTAACTTACCAATGCCATCAGGACGAGTAAGCTAATAAGGCAATCTGAAAAAAACTCAAATAACATTTTTTCTGCAACCTTAGCATTACCTAGCTGATTATTCTTCAATACAAACACACACACACACACACACACACACACACACAGTGCAACAATTTATTTTAATGTAATGCTGCCCCCTTGTGCTTTTGTATACAAGGAAGTTTTTGTCAATAACCAAGGTTTGTAGCAACTACAGAAAAGCAAGATATCAGCCTTTTCCTCAGCTCTGGGCTCTGAGCGTTCTTACAGATTTTTTTCACTTGAGCAGCAATATGATCTTATGCAACAATCAGCAGTCTTAAAGCCTAAGGAAATTTGAAACATGTATTAACATAAAAATTAAAGCTAGGGTAAAAAGAAAGCACACCATATACAAGTGAAAGATGAAAAACAAAGACAAAGGTCAGATCAAAGGTACAGTAAGCTACTGAAAATAAGTGCAAAATAAATGTTTAGATTTCATACCTTAAGTTGTAGTATGCCAACACAAAGGAACCGGTTTTACAGAGGAAGGCAAAGAAAAAATGGTAGGCCACAGGAGAATGAGAACTCTACAGCTCAGGAAATCAGTCTCCTTCACACTAGGAATCTAGTGCCAGTCAGACTTGGGTTACCAACTTTTGGAAGTCCTTGCCTTGCCTTGTTAAAGGCACTATGAAGTTTTGAGAAGTTCATACAAGTATCTTTTTGTGAAAATCTGGCTCAGAGTCAATTACCTACTAACTACCTTTGTAGATCCAGTAACCAGGGACTGTCTGGTAAATTTGTCTTCCTAAGAGATGGTCCCCCATGAAATTACTAACTGGTTGATCTACAAGGACTTAGTACCATTCCATATGGCATAGTTTGTGGCTGAAGACAAGAAAATTCGTCTTTCAAGCATACTAAAATTTCAAAAAATTTTGTAAGAGGAAGTAAAGCTTGTAGGCATGATACAAAGCCATGGATGTATAACGTCAATACTTACAGTCATTTCTTTTGAACTTTAAACAAGTCCCACATCCTGAAGGAACTATTTTGTTTTATGACTACTTCCTGCAATTCCATATTAATAACAATAGAACTTACATGTGTTCATTTGCTTTTTATATGCATATTAGGCAGAAGAATTTATTTGAAAACATAGCTCTTGTATACCAGCTTTCACAAGGCTTACTGATAATCAGGAAGCCCTTACAATCTCAGAATAAATACCTATACGTGAATATCTGTATACTTTCTGTGTGTGTGTGTCCTATCTAGGCTACTGAATACATATATGACCTTTACTGGTCATTTTTCCTTCTAAATTTCACAGCTGAAAAAGTTATTCGTAAATAAAATAAAAAAAATGTTTATTTGGGTCAAGAAGAATGTGATATTTTCAGGCAAATTTCAGTAAAAAAGAAAAAAAAAAGCAAGTTGGAAGTATTCTATTCTGATAGCTAGTAAATGAAAGAAACTTTCCCATTTTCAGCTAAAATTGATTTTCCTTACATATTTACCGTCTTTGTATTTTAAATATTTCTAAGCTTTGACAAAGTCAATAAAATTCAAGA